CGGGGGGGGGGGTTTCCCCCCCCCCCCCCCTCTTGCTACGGCCCCGGAACCGAAAGGCATGTGATTATACAAACATTTAACATAATTTGTCATCTTTTGCCCTAGCAGATTAAAATTTAACTCTTCATAGCCAACAAAAACACTGAATAATTTTGAGCATGCAAACGTATATATGTATGTATATATATTATAAAAATGTTATTCTTCGTATAATCATTAAAAGTTGTTCCCATTATAGTTTTGCAAATAATCATGCAAATATTTTAATGATGCACGTCTGCATATTTTTGTTCATTTGCTGGATGTATTTACTGATTTTGTTTTAAGATCTCAACCAATTGGATTTTTTCAACTTTGAAAGCCCTCTGTTGTGAACTCTTCGCAAAACAAAGACACGGACAATGTTCTAAGGTTTATTTCGTACAAATTTTAATACATTTTTATCGTATTACTTGGCTGTCAAAATAGTTGTTGTTCCCTTTTGTCCTCGACTTTCGATCGAATGATTAAAACAAACAACACGTGACCAATATTAACCTAATTAAATATTAAATAATTAGCATGCATTATGCAGTTCTATTAAAGTGTCAAAACACTCCTCCCCAGTGCGGAAAACGTTAACAGCTCAACGTTTGAGCAACGAAATTACCGTCTATATGTCTGTCTTTTCAGTGCTTTTAACTATGTTGTACTAAAGTTTCATTCTTTTCGAGCTCTTGCCGGGTTGCAATTAGCCATAACTTCGCTATGGGTCTTTCGTAGACTCCCTTCGTCGTTCTAATATTTACTTTACAAACAAGATTATCACCACCAGGAAATACTTCTTCCACCAACGCCATTTGCCGCTCACCTCTCTTGCGATTCCCATCGATTTCTAATACAAGATTACCAACTCTGACATTCTTTCGCCATTTTAACTTTTCTTCAGGATGGCAATACCTTATCCCACTCATATAGATTCTGAAGATCAATTCGAAACCGAATTGTAAGTGGCGCCATCAGTCCTAGTAGATCCCACAGTTGAGACACCACACCAACATCCTTTCGTTTCGTACGATAACTGAGATCTGTACACACTGTCTCGCTCTTCAAAGCAATGCTATCAGCTTTCTTGTTCCATTGATGACCCAGTAAACTCACCGGATTCTCGTTGCCATCTTGATCAATCTCTGGGCTGTTGCTGTGCCACGTTTTGATGGCAAACTTGCCTTTGCCCAAAATGGTATGGATACCATCGACCACTTTCTTGACTTTCTCTGGTGATGTCTCCCACCCCGCGACGTCATCAACATGAGTATTATCCTTTAGGATTCTTGCTGTTTTTGAAAATTCGACTTGAGCTCTATCAGCAAGAAGATTAATGGCATTGATGGCAAGGTCTGGAGCTGGCTTATCTCCAAAACTAAGACGTACTCATTGATATACATCAGGCTCTCTGTCAGTTTCTCCGTCTCTCTACAAGAATCTGTGGTAATCCTGATCATCCGGATGGACAGCTATCTGATTAAACATCTTTGAGACGTCTCCAGCAAATGTGACTTCATTCTGTCTCCAGCCAATCAACACATCAAATAAGGAATTCATAAGACATGGTTCCTTTTCAAGAGCATCATTGAGGGATACACCGTACATTTTGGCCGCTGCATCGAAAACTAATATGCAATTGGTAGTCTTGTCCGAACTTTCCCCTTCCCCAATTGGTAGATACCAAGCCGGCTTCTCTGGGTCTACTTCCTCTTGTTTCAGCTTAATGACCACTTCTCTGTCGACCAAAGCTTCTACTTCCTTGTTAAACTCCTCCAACTTTCCTTTCTTTACCAGCTACTTTTCTTTCGACACCATTCGTTCGAACGCGACAGATCGGTTGTTAGGTAAATTGGTATGTTCTGGTTTCCAAGGCATTCTTACTTCAATTCTTCCATCATCCAAAAGTTTAGTAGACTCCCTAACATGTCGAATGAATGCACATTCTCGCATTTCTTTATCAGAGCATGTACAGTAACCAATTGGTTTGATTCTTAATTAATCTTGGAAAGTTAATTTCATAATGTCCTGGTCCTTTGTTATGCAGTCAATGGTTTCAACAGCAAAAATTCCAGGTGTACTATTCTCTTCAAGATTACCAAGGACTGACCAACCAAAGATGTTCTTCTTTGCAATCGGTTCACCAGGGTTACCTGCCAGAACTTTAAAATCACGATGGGCTTCCGGTAGATCTGTTCCCAATAGAATATCCACTGGACCGCCATTTAAATTTAGATCTTCTACAATTCGAACAAGTGAGGAAATCTGACTAGCAAGTGAGGAAATACAAGTGCAGTCATGCAGTGCGGACGTGGCAAAAGCTGCGCTCTAATATTGCAGTTTATTTTATATTATTTAATAGTTGGGTTTGAGGAAAACGACTATTATAATTCTCAGTTAAAACCGTGTAAATCTTCACTGTTTACATTTGGCAAAACTCTTATTGTTTTTGAAGAAAATGTTGGCTGTCTTTTTGTTTCACCTTCATCTCACAAATTTAGCCGCCATGTTGGTTCAGTCAAGATCTATGGCAAGGGATTCTTCTCAGCCAGAATTAAGCGTTATCCAAATGCAACATCCAGCTTTCAGTTAATGCGATTGATGGTTAGTGGGGATATTTCACCAAACCCTGGCCCAAACACAAGTCTTGAAGAAGCGAGGAAAAGTGAAACTCGGCGAAAGTGTTTAGATTCGAATATTAAGATTGCACATTTGAATATTCGTTCTATTAAAAATCGAAATAGTTTTCTCCTTGTGAAAGAAGCATTAATGAAACACAAGTTTGATATCCTGACAATCAGCGAGACCTGGCTCGATAACTCTATTACTGATGCTGAAATATGGATCCCCGGCTACAACATCTATCGACTCGATCGCGTATCTAAAGTGGGTGACGGTGTGTGTGTCTACACGAAGGATAATCTTAAGATTAGCAGTTTGAATGATTTATCATATATAGCAGATTCAGGCCTACATATGTTATGGCTCAAAGTTCAGGTTGGAAATTTACGATCCTTTTTAATCTGTACTGCCTATAGACCACCAAATGCTCCCTTAAATTGTTTTTGAAACGGATTTTAGTCGCACCCTAGTATCCGCCTTGCTGATGAGTAAATCAATATACATATTAGGTGATCTAAACTGTAATGTATTAAACACTGGGGATCCTGCATGCCAAGCTCTATTAAATTTCTGCTCCACTTTTAACTTGGCCCAACTAATAACTCAACCTACGAGAATAACAGAGTCCTCAGCGACTTTGTTAGATGTTATACTCGTTTCGAACAAAGAGCTTATAATTGAATCTAATGTGGTACCAATTTCAATAAGCGATCATGACTTAGTATATGCCACCCTGAAGTTAAAGAAAGAACGTCAAAAGCCTGTTTATGTTAATACCAGAAGCTTTCGACAATATAATCCCAATTCGTTTTCTCAAGATATGTCGTACGCACCTTGGTCGGTTATAAATGTTTTTGATGATATAGACGACAAGCTTAATGCATTTAACCTGATATTGAATAATATCTTGGACTTGCACGCTCCTATCAAAAGAGTTAAAGTAAGAGGTCGACAAAACCCGTTTATAACTGAAAAAATTCGCTGTCTCATGAAAACTAGAGACCACTGGAGGAAATTGGCTAGACAAACAAATGACACCTTAGCTTGGGCGGCTTATAGAAATTTTAAGAAGGAAGTGAGGCGAGAAATTAGATTAGCCGAACAAAAGCATGTCATGGAACAAATAATGAGTAATTCCAACAACAAAAGAAGTATTTGGAAAACAATACGATCTTGTATCCCAAAACAAACCACGCGACAGAAGTCCTATAATAGAGATGAAAAGATCATTGCAAATGAGTTTAACACTTATTTTATGACTCTTGGCCAAATAACTTCTGAACAAATAAATTCCTTGGCCGCTCAATCTAATTATGACTTAACACAACCAGCAGTCCCCACTCAAGAATACCCAGATGATGAACAATTTTTCTTTAAGCCGATGAGGAGAAATCGAGAATGTTATTCGCTCAATGCCAATGAATAATGCACCTGGCCATGATAAAATACCTATACGCGTGATTAAAGATAGCCTCCCTGCAATCCTTTTACCTATCACCTCAATCGTCAATGCGTCTTTGTGTTCTACATGCCAGTTTCCAAGTACTTGGAAGAAGGCTGAGGTTTTGCCTGTCTTAAAGGAAGGCGATCACGAAGTAGCAGAGAACAACCGTCCCATCTCACGCCTACCTGTATTATCAAAGATATGCGAACGATCAGCATTGAATCAGTTGATGCCTTATTTAGTTTTAAATGGGAAACTTTCTACGAAGCAAAGCGGAAACAAAAAAGACCATTCTACCGAAACATCTCTGATAAAAGTTACTGATGAAATTCTAACAGCAATTGACAGTAAGAAATTAACTGCAGTTGTATTGTTAGACTTTAGCAAGGCTTTTGACAGCATAAATCACCAAACATTATTAAATAAATTGCGGGACATTGGTATATCACCTTCTGGATTGTCATGGTTCAGTAGCTACCTGTCAAATCGATATCAAGTGGTATGCATAAATTCAACCTTATCAGATCCTTTGCTAGTTACAAGCGGAGTCCCACAGGGCAGTATCCTTGGCCCAATCTTGTTTAATATTTATGTCAATGATCTACCACTTGTTCCGAGGTCCTGCACACCCGACTGCTATGTAGACGACAGTAAACTCTATATCTCATTTCCAATACACGATAGTACCAAGGCTATGATTGAAATTAATGATGATCTAGTTCGAATACGTAACTGGTGTTTTGAAAATTGTCTACTCTTGAATCCAAAGAAGATAAAATTAATGGTCTATGGCAGCCGACAAATGCTATCCAAACTATCTGATTTTCGTGTAACATTGTTAGGAAAAGATATCCAACCTTCACTGCATGTAAAGGACCTGGGTGTAACGTTTGATCAGACCCTTAGTTTTAATGAGCATACTATAAAAAATGTGTCTTCGTGCATGTCGATTTTAGGTCAGATAAATCGCGTGAAGCATGCATTTGATAAGGAAAACACTTATTACAATAATTAACACTTTAGTTTTTAGTAAAATGTTTTACTGTTCGTCTGTATGGTCTAATACTGCAGAGAAAAATCTAAAAAAGCTACAGACTGCACAGAATTTCGCTGCACGCATTGTGACGGGAACTCGTAAATACGATCACATTACTCCCGTATTGAAAGACCTTAAGTGGCTACCCGTTAAATTACAACTTTATTATCGAGATGCGATCCTGGCGTACAAATGTATGAATGGCCACGCTCCATCTTATTTGTCTAGTCAGTTTATTAAACGATGTGACGTGAGTAAGCGGACTACCAGAAGCTCACAGTTGCTGAATATTCCACTGTATAAGACCGCTAGTGGCCAAAGATCCTTTTATTACCGTACAGTAAGCTTATGGAACTCACTAGAAACTTCTTTAAAATTAAGTGACTCTGTACATATTTTTAAGCAAAAAATGAAAACTCAATTACTAAATCAGTTTATACTATCTTAGGACTAGTATTTCGTCTTGTACATAATTAGTTTATTACTTATTGTAAATGATCACTGAAAAGCTTCTTTGGGGAGTGTTCATTAAATTATTGTATTGTATTGTATCAGGGGCGGATCCAGGATTTTCCGTACGTTAGTCAATGTTTTTGGATGCACAATATAGTTTTGCAAGCGGCAAATGCGCGAGGATCCTAGGGGGGGGGGGGGTCCTGTCCCCAAGGAATTTTTATATTTTTAAACCTCAGAAACGCAATTTGCATCACTCTGAAAGCAGCTTGACCAAAAAATTAACTTCATGAAATGGGAGATAATTATAGCAAAATTATCAGTCTCACTGACTCTCACAACTCGCTCCTTAGGGAAAAGTACAGGAGAAGTACTTGCAGAAATGTGATAATTGTGGAAGATGTTTCTTTATCTATCTGATGATCATGGTACTACACTCATTTTTGTTTGCCTAATAGCCTTGTTGAGTCATTGATCACTTGACAATAAATCACTACAGTGTCATATTACTCAAATAAACATATATGAATATTAAAGTCTAATTAACATTCATCTATAAAACCTGACCTTTATATCCTATGTATACTACATTAATGCATTTATATAGGTTATCCTCCATATTAATAGCCTCTGAATTCTGACGGTCCTTCAGATGCAGAATTAGAAATATGCAAATTTGTTGTGTAAATCAAAATTCACAGCTAAATCTAAATCAAGATACGCATATTCAAGTTACAATTTTACATATGCATGGCGCGCATCTTGTTCGCTTATAAATATTGTTATGCTGTCTAAAACGAAATAAAATTTACATATCACATTAAATTTACCTTATTGCACTTCAGAATAAAGATCTCGGCGCCAATAGTGAATGCTTCCACTCAAACAGTCAAACTGTAGTTCGTGCTATTCGTGGCGCCTAGCAACTGCTCACTGAATCAAACTCTCCGATATTTAGCGTCGATTTTCCTCCGAAGATCAGCGCAACAGTCTTGTAAGACAGCTAAATTATTCACCGCAAATGCGGATTGAACCATTTCGTGATCATAAATACTACAAGAACTGGAGCAGCAGACATTTCCGAATTCTCTGTAGATATCTTTAAATTGAATCTTTCGACAAAGCTCCAACATGACACTTCGAATGAGCGCGCGCTGGGAAAGACTTTACCACGCGTCAAATATTAATGATATTCCGACTAATGGGGCGCCCCTGACTTTTGTAAATCGGTCAGAACTCCCCACAGATCAGTCAAAATCGCAAAAAATCGCTTGTTTCCATGGCAATAAGCATCTAGACCAATCAGAACACTGAATTTTGACTTTTTGACTGACCGACTTTGCGTATGTCAGCTGCTCATTGACCTGACTATGCTCGTCGGCTCAGCCACTGTATGAAATTTGATCACTGGACTACAGTTCGATTGGAATGTTAATTGCTGGCGCTGCATGATAATAGATACTGCACTATTATAAGGTGTCGCTGCATGATAAAAAATAACTGGACTATTGGTCATATATTTAAGACTTTAATTAAGTTCGCAATTTTTACGTTAGTTGTGTGACTGATTTGACGACCCCTACATCCGCCCCTGTATTGTATTGTATTGTTGTATTTCTTCCGGTTCTAAACAACCATCTTCAATCGTGGAGACAAGCCTGGATACACCATCCTTTAAAAACTGAACGAAACATGAGTCCAATACAACTCTGGGTTAAAGGACTTCACATGGTTTGCAGAAGTGATTCAACTGCACCAAGGGAAGTGTTTCAGGTAATCACGTCTTTGCGTAAAGTATAGTTCTTTATCTGTTTATTTTGATGGAGTTGGAAATTATTAGGTAAAACGTAACTGAATTGAAAATTTTAATAAAACCTATGGCTATGTAAACCGTATATCATCAAATTTTATTTTTTGAGAATAAAGTCAGTGTAATCTCTCTTTCAGGGCGACTTTTTAAATTATGGGGTGGACGACTACGAAGGGCCTGTTCCATTGCGGGAATCAGAAAGAGTAGAGGTTCCAGAAACTGTGTGCCCTCTTGAGACAGAAGAAATGGAAAACATCTATCAGTTCTCTGCCCAAGATGGAATGAGTATGGATGAAATTGTAGAAAAATACATCGATGCAGTCGACTTTGTGACTCGCTTGCTGCAGGGGTAGTGAATTTATATGGAGTATTATAAAGTTCGTAGGAAGAAACTTCACTTTAATTTTAACCTATAACAAAAATTTTAACCTTTAACATTAAAATCACATAACCTAAAAATGATACAATATTATGCAAGAGTGTCTTATATGAACAGAACATGAAATACACCATGAACAAAATGACACAATAGTTTTTAACTAACTGTAAGTTAAACACTGCACATCAGTTGCGACAACTCGAAACAATGTCAAGTGCTCTATCAGTAAACGTTTAAATAGAGGTGAATCCCTTTGATCCATATTTGATTGCTATGTCCATCATCTTGGCAAAATCTTCGAAGTTATCAAATTTAGATGGAATGGTCATGGAGTTAAAACACGTTTCCACAATAGGAAGGTCAATGCTCGCGTCAAACTTTACCAGCATGCTTTCGTGGTTAGTGCTTGACGCCAGCTTATTTATCCCAGTCCAGAATGAACACAACTCCATCAAGCCAGCTCCTTCTGTGAATGTAAGTATTACTTTTAGTTATGGCCGTTAGAACGTCAGATTTTGTTGGGGGGGGGGAGAGGTGCCAAGGAGGGTATGTGAGAGACAGGGTGCGTACCGCCGCAGAGCAAGCTGCACATTTGCTAATGGAAGTAATGGGACAAAGCCCCCGGATTTTTGGTCCGATTTGGTTCAAAATCCTTGTTTTTAGTCTTACTTAGGCCTATTTTATACGTCGAATTCTGGTTGCGTCGAATGCAATTAACACAATATATAATGAGATGATAAAGCTAATTTATGATTCATTATCTATTGTTTGAATTGCATTTGATGCTACCAAAATTCGACGTATAAAACAGGCCTTTGTTCAAAATCTACTTTCATTTATCCCAATTTTTGTTGGGGGGGGGGGTGTGTGAAAATTTCTCTAGGTGCGGTGGGAAACCAGAGGTTGGAAACTTGGGGGTGCAAAATATTTGGGGGTGCACACCCCCCATAAACATAAAAATTTCTTTGTCCATCTAGCTTCACTTCTTTGGTGTATCAGGTCAAGATACTTGTAAAAGAATTCCTCTGTTAATTTGTTTTCTTCATTGTCTTCAAATCGGCTTTTTTCTTGAAACTCTGTCAAGTTGATGTGTCGTTCATGTTCTCTGGGAAATATCAAATCACCAAGTACAGGCCACTTCGAAAGATACGTAATAAGCTTAAGCTCCTCCACTCCTTAAAATTTATTCAAAAATCATAATTTTCTTTATTAATACTTTTTCAAATCATTTTAATATTTAAAATGACATAATATTGTTGTAATTCTAAGCTTATGGAATAGTATATCGTTCGACACTACTCACTGAGTGAGACCGTTGTAAAAGATGTCTGCAACACTATTAAAACAGCGCAACATTTATGATATATACCTTTACAAATATCTTCAATTTCTAGATGCCGTTTGTTAATAACGTTGTACAGCATGAGACCTTGAACGGGGAATTTCCTATCTTGATTATGGGGGTCTAGGCCAGCATCAAGCAGGTACGGCTCCAATTGGCTCTTTAAGTCTTCTGGAAGTGTTTTATCATTCGGTGAGGACTCAAGCTGAAATGACAAAAGATCAGAAAATTTGTTTGTTGTAGAAGTTGTGCTCCGTTTTTAAACAGAATATTTACTAATACGAACCTCACTTATACACTTCCTCAGTTCAATATCTGGAATATCATTAAGAGAAGGAGGTGGTGGATTATCTTCTAATTCTTTTGCAGAATTACAAAAGTAATGAACAATTGCTGGTGATATGCCATGGATAGATGGCCCACCATGCAACGCTGAGTGCACGATTATTCGTCCAATTGCTTTAAATGAACCAGCAACGCGTGAAGCTTGATCATGCAATGGAATGCGATCCGTTTCTCCCTCGAAAAAAATAGTGGGTTTGGACGATATTTTCATTCCTTCGTCAACCATCTTTATGGCACATAATAAAAATTCACGGACAAGGCCGCTACCAGCTCCTTCCTCTTCTTCAAACCTGATTCTAGGAAGAGCGTTTAATTTGTTTCACTTCCCCTTATAACATAGAAATATGTCACACTTTAGCTCCTCCGACCCTTCAAGCGGGAGACAGAAAACAGCTGTCGAGGAGATAATTTGTCGATAACCTCACTTCTAAACTTAGCTATTGCCGCTTTTGGGTCACTGATCTCAGATGATGATGTTGGGGAACTTTCAACAATTTCTACATCTTCGTCATCTTCCACCCCTAAGTATATGCTTTCAGTTAGTGTATATATAATTTATCGATTAATACACATGCGTTTAACGACAATAATTGGCAAAATTATCATTAACACTGCTGCTTTGCTGTGTGAAACTTTGCACTATCCTTGGGATCCCTGAGTATTGCTCGATCGTAAATCTGATAAAGCTTACCAAGCAAACTTTCAGCTGCAGCATTGACATCTCCACTAGCTCTTGAGAGAGCAGCATTGATCTCTTCAGTTTGAAGCATTGATCTCTTCCAACAATGATATCTTTCTAAATTAATGCAATATCATTCAAATAATAAGAAACACCAAACATTTGGTTCAAAGTGGCGTAGCCAGGATTTAAAATTGGGGGGGGGGGGGATTTTTATGGCATTCAAGATTTTGAATGTCTGAATTTTGAAATGGAATGAATTTTGAATTTTGAATTTTGAAATGTCTTCATAATGTCTTCATTTTTAAAGTGGAAATTATATTGTAATAAACAGAATGAACTTTGAACTTTGACTGCTGCTATGTGTTTAAATTCAAGTTCAAATGTGCTTTCAACCACCATAGGCATTCTTACTGGAGTTAGGATTCTATATACGGACCACTACAACTTTTATTGGTAAACAGAAGAGATGGGAATCATTATTGACACATTGTCCCCCCCCCCAATTTATGCCTGGGTTTAAGCTTTTAACCCTTGCCCCCGCCCCCCTTGGCTATGCCACTGTTGGTACAAAAATATCATTAACACAAGAAATCATAGGTACACTGGGATACCTGGATGTGTCAGACATGAACACTGGCACTGGTAGGTTTTCATCACATTCATTTATATCAACATGTTCCTTATCATTACTGTCACTTTGTAGACTGGACCAATCCAAAGTATGTTGTCTCTAAAATTGTACAATACAATCACACATAGCAAATAAGAAAATGCATTTCTGGGAAATTTTAAAATTTGCTTACTTTAACAGGATTTATCTCCACTCCATGTTTCTCACTAATATGTTTCTTTAAATAGCTCATGGGAACCAGTGCACCACATTCAATACATTCAACTTCTGGAATGTTGTTCTCATCCTGAAAAGGCATGATTTTTTTACCATTTTAAAAACAATGATATGTGGTCAAAATTAGTTTTCCTGTAAACAATGTTTTTTAAGCAGATATAAAATATACTGGATCCAGCACTGTTGTTATGACTTTGCCTTCGGGTCGGGGGGGGGGGAGGTTCGACTTGCCTGAATTTTTCCAACTTAACGTTTTTACCAGACTTTGCAAAGTGCCTCCATGGTTGGTGCCAAGCTAAATTTTTTGAAAATTTGACTATCCAAAATGGCATTTTTAGAGTCTTTCCTACAAATATGTTAGTATTGCCTAACAATGAATATAAGTATTATTACTTACAGTTTAATGTTACTGTGAAAATGAAAACATTTTGGAAATGTGGAGTCTCCTTGGTCATGTCTCCCACCTGTCACAACACCTCTCAACATATTTGGTTGGTCGATTGTTAACTCTAGTTCTGATTCAGAGCATAGAGTTCACTTTTTTATGCCCCAAGAATTACCTGAAAATCTACTGGATATCTACCTGAAATAGCTCATGAGCAATTATTAGGGGGTGTTGCACCACCCATAACCTGGTTGTCACTATGGCCCTGCCAAGACCTTTTATTTGGTAATAATTGTTAGCAATTAAAGATATGCTCATATCAATGTGTGACACGTAATATGACATATTTCTACCTGAGGCTCATCATCAGAGTCAATCAAACCCATGTCCCATGTCAACATCTTTTTGTAAAGGGCGGGGATATATTTTGGCAGAACCAGCTGCATCTTTCAACCACCTTGCAGTTTGTGGACCACCAATATTAACAAAACCAGAATCATCTCCCCTTTGAAAAAGCAGTATTTCATATCCAGTTTCTTTCAACTTAGGAAATCTTTCCAAAATCTTGTCATGGCATTCCAAGCGGCTCATATCCAGAAAAAATTGGATAGATGCTTCACCAAGGCCAGCATTTAATAAGGCAGTTTTGTCACATATTTTGCTGGGTGGTTTTGAGGTGGCCAATTCTGACAAAGCAACAAACTTTAAAGTACATGTTGGCTTTCGTTCTTTTCCCTTATTTGACTTTCCATTAGTACATTTCACATTTCTGCCACCAAATGAAAACAGACGCCTATGTTCTTGTGCCTGCCTCATTTGGGTTATATTTGGTTTCAGGATTTTTGAATGAGTAGATGTTGATGGCACATTTGAATGTGTTGATGGACAGCTTGTAACAGCTTGCTGTACTGATGTTCCTGATGAAGTTTGTCTTGATGGTCCAGGAAGAGTCTGCCTTGAGGGTCCTTTATTAATTAAGAATTCATGTTACAGTTAGATAAAGTTTTTTTTTCTAATATTAAATAACCAGAAAATGCAATGACAGTGCAAATTAAAGTGTTGTCACAGTTGTTGACATAACATGCCTCCAAAGTTCTTTTGCAAATTTGCAAAACTGTCCAGGGACCGGTCAATATTGATGGAAGGGGTGAGGGGAATTTTTTCTTTCCCAAATTTTTAAAATTGAAAGCCCCCCCTTAAAAGAGCAGAAATTTAATGGTGACCCCCCTGCATATTAGAATATTTTTCTTTGAGCCCCCTTCCATAAATAATGACCGGTGACCGGTCCCTTACAAATTAACAATTAACTGGGTCAAACAGAGTTAAAAAGCTAAACTATAAACAACATTGTTTAATTATATTTGTGAAATTCATGAATAATTAATGAGGCTGATAGCCAATCAATTTTCACGGATTAAGTCACATGCACACCCCTGTATACGCCATACAAATGAGATTTTAACAAATATGCAAATTAGTTACAAACACTCGTGGTTGTATCTTTTCTGTTACAACCACGAGTGTTTGTAACTAATTTGCATATTTATTAAAATCTCATCGGTCATTATCCAACATTAAGAGATGCATTATAACAACAAAATCACATTTATTTATTCCAATACCAAAATTATTTAATAAGCACCAAATTATTTAACAAGCACCAATTTATTTTCCAGTTCAAAAGTTATCGCAAGAATTAAACACGCAGTTATTAAACACTGGTGCTATTGTATAACTCGATGTACTTGGTGAAGAATCCGTATTTTTCACGGCATTTGTATCGGAATGCACACTAAAATCTGTAATGTCAAGCATTGCTAACGTTTCATCGGAAACATCAAAATCCCCAAACTCATCAAATATAGACCCATCACTTACACTACTACCTCTTTCCTTCATTGGAGGTGCAAGCACATTACTTACAAAACTAACTTGTTCATCGCTTGGCTTTTCGTACCGAAACAGAGAATCTGATCTGTGACCAGTTCGTTCCCTGATTTGTTTTTCTTCTACACTACGTTGAAACAGACGAGTAGCACATGTTATACGCAAGCAGTGTGAAGTTTTTCTCTCAATACCTGCCTTCACACACAACTTATCCGGTAATATTTTAGCAAGTGTATTTATACCGATAGCACTCTTTTCGTACGCAAAACAACCGCTTCGGTGCGCCTTGAAATAAAAAGCATTAGGATTCGCCTCAATGCACACAGCTATTTTTTCCAAATACAAACTATAAAACTTCACTAAACAATGACTATGCTCCTCGCCTATTTCATGGCATTTGTGCTCAATAAGCCTTCTACTCTTTTTTTAATCCTTTAGCCCCCCATGAAACGTCTTTGACACACTTTCATCAAAAATTATAAAGTTATCTTTTACTGCAATATTTGAAACTCTGATGAGCCTATGCTCGTTTGATCTTAGGCCGAAAAGCTTTCCATTATAAAACCACACTAATTTCACTGCGAAGATCCTTTCTACATTTCACTTCAACTCCCTTCTTTGCTGCATCTCTCATTTCGCCGTCAAGAAATAACGTAAACCTTATAATACAAAACAGAGATTTTAGAAAAAAGCTCGATTAAAACCAGCCACACCTATTTATTAGTTTTGTCATGTCAACCATTTTAAAATGCTGCCTACTCACCTTTTATCGTCTTTACACAGTGGATCCAATCCACTTTTATCGCTCAAATATCACTTCAAACCACAAATTATAACATACAACGTTCGTCCTGGATATCTTTCCCCCTTTGCATTGCAAACCTCTTCCACAAACCGACTCAGCCACAGATTTAATGTTTCTGCATTCATACAGTGTAGTGGTGTAGTCAAGTCTTCGACTTGACATATTTGTAAGTTCACTGAACTTGAAGGCACATTCCTAACAGACTTATCTTCTCGGCAACTTTGCCATTGTTGGAAAACATTGATGGCCCATTTTGTGTTTATATCCTGTATTCTTCGGAATAGTACTGGCAACCAAAAGACGCTCTTCCTCTGCTGTCAAAGGTGTTCTGTACCGGCTAACACCTTCCATCACAGTGGCAAAATGCGACCTATTCGCCCTCTCTTCGCAAAATAATTCAGCTTATTCAAGCTCTAATTTGTTTGAGGCACATTATCAAACAAAAGGAAACAATTAATTTAATCCGAAAACACTTAATTCCCTTCACATCTCATCAAACTTTCATTATATATTCATTTCACAAGTCATTTCTCGTGTCCGTGTTGTATTGAATATATTATCACTCGCCTTCGGCTTGTGATAATATATTCAATACAACACGGCCGCTCATGTTGTAAACATTACATATAACTATATAGTTTATATAGTGGGCTATTCCATTTAACTCCTTCCCCCCCATATGATGCATGGTTTCGAGTGTATTATCAAGTATATACTCAGGTAACAGTGTTAGAAGTGTTACACTATCTTTATTTAGGGTTAGCGGTTTAGGGTTAGGGGTTTAGGATGAGGGGGTTTAGGGTTAGGGTTAGTGTGTATAACACTATGTAACACTATGTAACACTGTCAACACTGGAACACTATGTAACACTGTGTAACACTATGTAGCACTGGAACACTGAATGTAAGAATATACAGTATAACATTGTTTAACACTGTGGAACACTTGTAACAGTGTTATAACTGAGTGCCATAATAAAGCCACTCTAAATCGTGCATGGTATTTTTGATAACATGGCGTCATGACGGAAGGAGCTATTATTCAAGGCTCTTCACCTGCCATGCGAAGAAACTCTCAATCGGCTAATTTAGCCGAGGCTTTATCAACAATTGTTGATACAAACTCTCAAATACAAACAGACTGTAATAATAATTGTGATTCTGACGAAAATTTGACCGGATTTATTGATGATTTGGGAAGGCGTCTGCAAAGTACATCGAGCGAGATTGTCGTACGACAGCTAATCGCACGAGATACCGATGATTTAGCTGGCTTAAGGGATAGAGTATTGCAACTGGTCCGTTGTAAGTGGAGTTGCTGTCCCAAAGGCGAACTTCAGAGGAGAATTACATGAACTAGGGGAACGTCGGCGTCAGAGAAGCTCGCACAAGATATTGTATTGCTTGTGAAATTTTACGAGAGCGGCGAAGGAAGTCAAGCGCTAAAGGACATATTTCGCAAGGTCAGGAATACGGATTGTAGTTACGCTCTCGGAGATAAGGAAACGAACGCTTTGGATCAACCTAATCTCAAGAAACTACTCGAAATTGTCGAAGATTTAGAAGCAAAATTTGTTGAAACAAATATTCAACATAAAACAGATATTGACAAATTGAAAGACGAACTTAATCATATGCAATTACATTTAGCCGAAAAAGACTAAAAATATATACTCGCTAGAAAAGGAGGTGTCGACGTTACGAGCTAATTGCCGTGCTTCAAAAGAATCTCTAAATTCGAAATGCGAAAGCATCTGCGTCGAGATGGAAAATATTTCTAAAATGGCAGAACAGAGAAAGTCAAAGGAAAGTATTAAAATAGCAGAACAGAGAAAGTCAAAGGAAAGTATTAAAATATTAACGAAAAAAAATTTGAATAATTCTGTAGAGTTTGGCAATACTGAACTTGCACACCCAGGACCCAAGGGAGCTGTTAACAATGGTACTCAGCCACGATCCTTCGCTGCTGTAGCGAGTGGCAGTAATGAAGACAATGAGCAAGTTACTATTGTGAGTGTTATTGATTGTGAACAAAGCGAAGGACAAATTAATACAGTTCTAGTTAATGATGATGATAGTAACAAAGGCGAGAGCGCAAATGACCCGGGACCGCCGTCGAATAATACCGATTGTCCAAAACAAAGTCAAGTAATTAGAAGTTCAAAAACAAGTGAAAATCAAAATGAAGCGAGTTTAGTTGACTCAAAGGAGTTTATTGGCGTGGAACGGCGCAACACAAAACGATTGTATCTAGGTGGTGTTAAAGACGGGGTCCACGCGAGCACTATAAAAGAATTTATGCAGGGAAAAGGCGTTCAGCCGACTTTCGTACGAATGATGAAAAGTCGGCGAAGTAGCACCGTTCCTGTGCGTAGAAATGTCAGAGCTTCAGATATTAAGGAGATTCTTGAACCAAATTTTTGGCCGAAAAATGTATACGCAAGGGAATGGCTCTCCAAAGATAAATGGGAAAAACGGTCAGTGAAATCTAACAGAGATCCATCCAGAGAACCGCCTTCATAAACATTGCATGTTGGAACTGCGGAGGAATCAAATCGAACTTCGTTTATATGCAAAAGCTACTTGAAAGTGTTGATGTTTTAGCCATATCAGAACATTGGTTATACGCCGATGAGCTTACTATATTAGACAATTTACATAACGATTTTTTGTATTATGCAAAGACAAGCGAACAAAATAATATGAACACAAGATGGAAGCGAGGTCAGGGGGGCGTCGCGATTGTTTGGAAAAAACATCTCAAGGCACAACGATTATTACTCGGAAATGATAGGATCGTAGCAATTAAATTTCGAATGAATAATCAGAATTATGTTTTCTGTAGTATCTATTTTCCATCAACGAACAGTAACTTGGCTGATTTTATCGACACTCTAACTTGCCTTAATGCAGTGTGCACTCAATTAAGTTACAGAGAAGAGCAAATCATTATTGCAGGCGATTTTAACGTACATGTATCGGATCCACGTTCAGGTCAACGTGAAAATAATAGAGGAAAACTACTCCTTGAAATGTTTGCTGAATTTGACATGTTTCCAGTTAACGTGGATATGCCCTGTATGGGTCCGCTATTCACGTATTACTCAAGTTGTGGTAACAGTGTTGTTGATTACATTTTTGCGAGTAAGAACATCGAAAGAATTGTAAAGTGTGTTAAAGTTGGCGACGAACATCCGTGCAATTTATCTTATCATCTGCCGTTGATTGCTGGCATTGAAATTTCTGCTGGTATAAACTGCCATGAATCATCTAATAATTTAGAAAACGAGTATGAACGAATTGCGTGGAGAAAATGTGCTTCGGAACAAGTACTAGAATATCAAAGGAGATTAAATGATACAATCACAACAATGGATGATACCTTATACACCAGTGATGACGTTGAGAACTATTATCGTTTGATCTGTCGCAGCATAAAAAGCAGCGACAAATGTCTACCTCGTGCGAAGTATAAGAAGTCCATCAAGCCCTACTGGAATAATGAACTCAAGCGATTAAAGACAGCTTGCATGGAGCTTCATAAGAAATGGACCTCAGAAGGACGTCCAAGAGGAGAACAGTATGAAAGTTTTCGGTTATACAAAGATGCAAAGCGTCTGTTCAGGAAGGAACAACGTAAAATGGTACGAAAAACAGAGGAGAATGATTTCAAAGAGCTTAGTGAGGCTTCCGAGATCGATCACATCAGGTTTTGGAAATATGTAAACCGACGTAGAAAGAAGAAAAGATCAACTAATGTGCTCACAACGAATGATGGAAGAACTATCTCAAACCCAGAAGAAATAGCAGATGTGTGGGCTAATTACTATGAAAAACTTTTAACTCCTGAGGAAAATACAAATTTTGATGATGACTTCAGGGAGTATATCGATATCGAGGTTAGTGACATAACAAAAAACTCCTTAGCTGAATTTGATGATATCTTTCAGGATCCCATAACTTTAAAAGAGATCGAGGATGTGCTAACAGAATTACCAAATAATAAAGCTCCCGGTGATGATGGCATAACGTATGAACATATTAAGTACTCTGGGGATATTCTGGCTGCCAAGCTGTTGATACTTTATAATAAGATCATTGAATTGGAGTACATCCCAAGACAATTTAAGTTAGGAATCAAAATTCCAATTCCAAAGGGAGGGAAGAGCTGTGCATCAAAATTCGATGATCACAGAGGAATTACTCTTCTTTGTACTTTTAACAAAATTTTCGAACGTTTAGTACTCAACAGGCTTCAAAATAAAATAAGATGTCGACCCCACCCGCTTCAAGGGGCCTACCAAGCTGAGCGTGACGCCTTGACGACTTCATTTGTTATTGACGAGTCAACTAAGCATTGTTGCGAGGAAAACGATAAAGTATTTGCCTGCTATGTTGATGTCTCAAAGGCATTTGATAAAGTATGGATAAATGGTATGTTGTTTAAATTATATCACAACGTAAATATTAGAGGAAAGTGCTGGAGGCTAATAAAAGGTTGGTACTCAGACATGGAGGAATATGTCTTTTATAATGGTAAACGTTCCAGACAGTATGATATCTTACAGGGGGTTCGACAAGGTGGGGGTATTATCGCCATGGCTATTTCTTCTCTTCATTGATGACATGATAAGCGAGCTGGAAAAGCTATCCACTGGTATAGTTATTCAAAATTTGTTTGTTGGATCACCAATGTTTGCTGACGATCTTACGCTTATGTCAAGATTAAAACGAGGTCTTGATAACATGCTTGTACAAGTTCATAACTATAGCCTAAAATGGAGACTTACTTTTAATGAGAAAAAAACTGTTGTGCTGACCTTTGGCGAAAAACGAGATAACATATCGGCAGTTACGAACAGAAGGTGGCTTATAGGAGGTAAAGAAATCATGGAGAAAAGTATCTGGCATAATCTTGGAAAAGATTGGCACACCGACGTTGCCAGCCTTATTCCAATACTAGAGGCTGCGAAGAAAGGTCAGGCTATCGGCATTGGTTTAGCAAATCTGGGATGTAGATTTAATGGGATGAATCCATTGGTGGCGACTAAGCTGTGGGCACGGATTGCTCTGCCGAAAATGTTGTACGGTGCTGAGTTGTGGACACTTAATCGAGAAAAACTATCAAAATTGGAAAAGGTACAGAATATATTTTTAAGAGTATGTCTGGGTTTACTTAGTGGTACCTCGGGTTCAGCTGCACGTGGACTTCTTGGTCTCTGGACGGTCGGAGCAGAAATAGACAAACGAAAGCTTCTGTTTCTCAGACGACTAATATGTGCAAGCGAGGACTATGTACATCGCAGGGTATTCATGATACGACTTAATAGATGGAGATGGAATCCGAACAAAATCACTGGTTTTGTACCAGATTTAGTTAGAATCTTACAGAAGTATTGCTTGTGGGAGTATATGGACAATTTTCTGCAGTCTGGAAATTTTCCCAGCAAATCTCAATGGAAGAAAACAGTAATTGAGAATATTAATCATGCGGAGATTGAGTTTTGGAAGATCAAAACGCAACGTTATAAACAATTAGGATTATACAGCCAAGTCGTAAAAGAACCAATGCGTAACATGTGGTTGCAGTTTGCTCTCGAAAGCAGCGAGATGGCCAACCAAGTGGCAATTATTGTTAAAGTTCTTTGTGGGTCATTCTATGTGAATGGTGTGCGATTTGCTGGAGAAAAAACACAATTTCATTGTATGTCTTGTGGTAACTACTACACAAATCCTGTAAAACATGCTATGTTGCATTGTTGTGAAACACAATTAGCAAGAACAAAATTATGGGAACGTATCACAGATTTCTTTCCAGTGGAATTCGTAGCAAACATTAATTCGTTAGATGAGGACAATTTGATGCAGACGATCTTTGGAAACATGCAATTCATGGAGGGACATAATAATAACCAAGTACAAAATTTTTATATTATAGTTGCTGAGTCTATTTCAAAGATAATAACAATATCCAGTTACATTGACATTTATTTGGATTCAGAAGCTATTTACTAGTTTGTGTGTTGTTTGTCTTTTTTTTAAACTAATTTTAATTAATTATTTATAATTGTAAATATTCGTATCTTCAAATATGGAGGCATTAAAGAATTATACTAAATCTCTTATCATTCAAGGTTATTAGTTTTTATTAGACTTTTAAAAATATTTACATTTATTATCGATTCCATTACCTATAGTTCTGATTTGAATTACAGTGTAATCAGAATAATTTATCGTGTTTCATTCTTCATAATTAAAACTAGCTGCTAAGGCTAAAGAGCGGATTTCACGACGGCGAAATTCTTCGCTGGAAATACGAGAGAGTCTATTGAATTTTCGTTTCACACAAAAGTTTCAGTTTTCCTTTCGGCGAGGAAAGCGCTGGTGGAATCGGGCCTTCATAAACAACAATAATCAATTAAAGTACGTAATATATATTATATGGCAATGTATTTGCCATTTCATTAAATTCATTGGCAGAGATTATGGGTGAGAATCTCTTGAGGTTCACAATCGTTGTCACCAGAGTTCTTGTGTGATATACTCTCAAACGGTCTGTGCCATTTAGTTGAAGCCCTCATAATCCACAGTTTTCTACTCGACTGAAAATATAAACAGAACTTCGACGTTTCGAGGCGAAAGCCCGACAAAGGACTTTTCGCTCGAAACGTCGACGTCCTGCTTGTATTTTCTAGGCAGTAGAATCTCTCACAATAACAATGTTATGAATAAAATAATTACATACTACAATGTCTAATTATTAAAGAGCGTTTGCACATGACGTCACAGCAGCCATGTTGGTGTTCCAATTCAAAAGAATTTTAATTAAACACTTTTGTCTGGAACACCAACATGAACGTCATGGCTTTTGTTGAGTTGGTTCCTGGGGATTGGGTGCAAACGCTCTATTAACCATTGTTAATTACTTGAGTTTCACCCATCTCTTAGCATTTTTTGGCAAAACAGGGTCTTTTCCAACCTGGTAACAAAACTCGGTGTACGAATTCCTTTTCTTCACCATTCTGTGGAAAAAGAACATATGGTGTGCATACGGCATAGCCACCATTATCCTCTTTAATCTGCTTGCCCAAACGTTAACCTGCTCTGCTGCCATTGTGTTGAGATTTTCAGGTAAAACCTTGTCGGGATCATAGTTAATCTTACATGAAGGATCTTTGTGATTTCTTAAATGTAAGCGATCTATGACTTTGCCAACACTTTGCCACATTTTGTCAAAAGGAGGCGGGAGAGGTAAATCCTTCCGGGAAGCACGGAGTGAGTTTAGGTGACACATGTTGTCATACGCCAGCACTGTTTCTTTCATTGCTGTACTCACTTCTTCATCACTCTTGCCCTCGTTAGTTAGTGCCATAAATTTATTATATAACCACACAATTGTAATCATAAACGCTTGTGTTGGTGACTCGGACCTTTAATGAAATATCTACCAATTAGCACTTTTATATAACACAAGTATATATAGCATAGTGGCCGTGACGTATCAGACACACATGCAATCTCAAGCCAATATGAGACGTTAAGCCGGTTTTCCACTAGCGAATTTTTTCGCGCGAAGCGACTTTTTTCCTTTATGTCAGTATCACTTATTCATGAGTACAGCAAGACTTGGCAAAAAGGATCCCACAAAGGAAAAAAGTCGCGTCGAGCGAAAAAATTCGCTGGTGGAAAACCGGCTTTATAGCTATGTGATTGTCTGATACATCAGGGGCGCGTAATAAGCTGTATGTATTACTCCAGTAGCTTGTAGAACGTAAGGATTTCAACAGTTGTGTCCTGATTATGCAAATGAGGAGAGTTTTGCATATATGCATGTGAATATACAAGACCTCATTGATTTATTTTTATTTTTAATAATGAATTATTAAAGCAGCAATTAGTTTTATTTGTTATAGGCACACATTTAACGTAGCACTCCTGAAATAAAATGGCCTATATAAATGACCTGACAGTGTACCGGGAAAGGACGACACCACTTAAGCTAAGTGTTAATTGCTGTAGTGTTAATTGCTAAGTGTTAATAACTCATTAATAATTCATGAGGAAACACAAAGAAAAATCATAAGCGTGTCGTATCTTTATATATATGAAAGAGATTTCCCTTGATTTACACAAACTTTAACTTTGATTTTCTCGACTTACACAATTTTTTTTAAAATTACTCCGATGAACTTACTAGATCGATCGTTTTTGAAGCAATTTAAAACATTCGCAGTGCGTGTTTTATCAGACCTGAAGATACTCGTCTTCGCCTATCTCGTATCTTTATATCTGATAAAACACTGATGCTCATGTTTTGAACAGTACATAATTATCGTGAAGTTACAGTTTTTCTGCTCACTTGTATAAAGGTTGCCAGTAGTCAATGTGCCCTCCACCTGATGCTATAACAAATATTCCCCTTGACCATTTCTGTAAGCGTGTTTTC